AGATGACAGCCTGAAGACACACACACACACACACACACACTCACCCTGCTGTGCTTGGTGGGTAGACATTAAGGTTTGTATAATGAGGGCTGGATTCTGAGCTGTGGATATATTAACAGAGATAAACACACTGTAGCGTCTTCATTAACTGATATGCACACATATGCACATTTTACAATTAGGTGATGCGAGCTATTTTAAGCTTCATAAACAGAGTTAATAAAAATTAGCAGGAGATGGGGCCAACTGCTGGCTTTGGATTATTTTTAAGGTGTCTGTGAAGACGGTTTTAAAAAACTGCATATCGAGCAAGACTGAACAAGGTTCTTCCAGAAAGCGAGTTGCGGCTGCAGCGGCTGCCGCTGTCCAGGCCTGTGTTATGAGTCAGCGACAGAAGGGTGCAACTCCACTGCCATGGCTCCTGGCTGCCTCCGATCCTACCAGCCTGTACACCACAGGCTGCTGCTGCTATCCTCCCAGTTTAATCTCACCATCTGAAGTTCAGGGGAAGTTGTTACAATAATCAGTACTTGAAGTGAACCTCGACGTTTTACTCTTTGGCGTACCGGGACATTTTCTTCCGTACCGGGACTTCTCCCAGGCTGCCGGTCCTCTCCTCTGCCCTCTCCATTTCAGGTTCTCTACGTGACGCTCAACTGTTCCCGTTCTCGCCTGCCTGCTAATCTCTGTCGGCGGAGAGAGACGAGGGAGAAGAGAAGTTTTGGTGAACTGACCAATCACAGGCTTGATGGGGCGGTACATTTAAAAATATTGACAGATAGGTGTCATTTTCTCTGGGGACGCTAGGGACAGGTCAGCTGGCACCTATTTTGTCCACTTGAAGCACTGACATTAATGATATAATAATAGTTATAATAGCTGTATTTGCATAGCACTTTTCAATACAAGTGACAGAGTGCTTTACAGCAATCAATATAAAAAATACAACATACAAAACGCTGACCAAATCTTATGCTAATCAGTTCAGCATTTGTTGAGCTATCTCAGGCCACACCAAAGAACTCTTATTTTACCATCTGTAAAGCAATTTTGCCAGCATGGCTAAACATTCCCATCATTGTAGCATCCATGTAGCATTAAATGTAGTTTTTCCAATGGATTATGGACCCTTTAACTTCCAGGGAAGCCGCCACTTTCACAAAAAACAAAACATCTGCAAGGTTTAACATTGCATTTGTAACAAGTACAGTTATTTGTTCAGCTACAGATCAGAAGCACAGAACTAAACCTCCATCTACAGACAAAACTCCTCCCAAAGCCGACTCAGCTGAATGTAACAGAATGTCAGCAGACTGCAGACACGGGGGTTGGACGATCAACAAAGCCAGACCGACTCTCCCATCCACTTATCTCTCCTCTCATCTTAATAAGACCAGAGCAGCAGCGGCGTCCTTCCCATAAGGCCGCGCTGTCCGGGTCTGAACCACAGTCTCATTAACCAGACATATTGGCCTCCGCAGTACAAAGGGCTTCCTCTTGAGCTGACACAAGGCCGTCCCGACTTGCTCATTTAAAACTGAAACGTTGACATCCTCGCTGTGTGCCATCATCGATATCAGTAACCAGCACTCTGGGAGAGAGCCGAGGGGAGGGGGTACTACTACTTCTATTCACACAGAGTTGCTGTTTTTTGTGCTGAGATGAATACGAGGGATGATTCTCGATTCAGATATCGGGTAGCGAGACGCAGTGAAGAGGATCAGATTGAAAGGTTGAAAAGATTTCAATCTTTCATGGACATTTAGATGTTCCTCTGTCTCTCTAATCCAATCAGATTCAATTCATTTATGCACTGTACAATCCAAAGAAGCTGAGAGTGATGATCCCATAATGTTGATTCAAGACAAAGAGGTCAATCAACAGTTGACATTGCAGGTAAAACTTTTTTATGCAACATGGTTAAAAAAAAAAAAAACAGCTTCACACCTAGCTTCATGGAGCCAATGCTGTGGATGCTAAAATCATGTCATGTCACTCTCAGTTGAACCATCCAATACTATGAGCAAAAAAATAACATGTAAAAAATTCAGTCTTTCTGCACTGGGTGGTTTGGAGAGGATAAAGGTTATTTGGCATATAGTTTATTGAAACTGAACGGATTATTTTTCTTTTTTCTGCAAAGCAACTTCAATTTTGGGGGCCTAAACATACTCGAAAACTCACCAAACTTTGGAAAAAATTCAGCCGCGGCGAACAAATTTAGTTTTTTATGGGTTTTGTGCATGGGCGTGGCAAAATGGCTCGCTAGCGTACAAAAAAGCGTCTTGGAGCCATTGCCTAAACCCAACAGGAAGTCAGCCATTTTGGATTTAATGGTCATTTTTGCCGATTTACACACTTTGTGCTTTAACAAACTCCTCCTAGGGATTTAGTCCGATCAACTTCAAATTTTCGCTGTGCACTCTAAACCCATTGACGATTAAAAGTTGAACCCTCCAAATCAGGAATGAAGGACGTAGTTTATGTCCGAGAAGGTCCGATTTGGTGAAAATTTTAAACAAAACCTGAACCCATCCATATGCAAATATGGATCACTCAATGTCATAGAACCACCTGCTGGCAACCGGAAATGACATGATTTCCACTGTAATGTACTACTCCTAACAGATCAACTTCAAAACTGTCCCACAAAACCCTTAACACATTCATGAGGCCATGTTGTAAAACGTGCGTTTTCTGTTAACGGCGTGGCGGTGGCAATGACCTTTAAAGAAGCAGCCCCCGTGGCACATTTCACCTACATGTATGAAATTTCTGTGGCACATGTATCATGTCCAGATGAACCAAAAAGCCTCATGGAGCGATGCCCTAAACCCAACAGGAAGTCGGCCATTTTGAATTTTATGGTAATTTTTGGATGATTTACAGGCTCTGTACTTTAACGAAGTCCTCCTACAGAATTAGTCTGACCGACTTCAGGTTGTCGCTGTCTACTCGAAACGTGTTGACGATTAAAAGTTGTACAAACGGTGAGTTTTCGTGGAACGGCGTCCCCGTGGCGTGGCGTCCAAAATCGATGATTCGCCATGAAAGAGGACGTTGTTGTAATTTCAGCGTACATGCTGACATCTGCACCAAACTTTACATGCTTGATAGCAGTCCCCCCCCCGAACACATCCACATGCCAATATTCAGTGTTAGTCTTAGCGCCAAGTGCTATGCAGCGCCACAAAGGGGATGCAATGATGATTAACACCTTTGGGCAAATTCACAGCCACACCGGCAGATCTCGAGAATCTGCAACGCAGCGGCCTCACACCTTGATGCGCTACACGTGCGAGGACCTGCCCAATGCTGCTTACAGCTTTATATAAATTTGGATTTGCCAATATGAGCAAAAGGCAGGTCTATTAAACAGACCTTGTTGTTGTCTGCTTTACAGCATGAGGTTGTTTTAGTTCAAATGTTTTATTCATGTGAAGTAGTCTGGACCTCAATCATCTTACTACTCACCCATGCAACCAGGTGTACAGTATATTTATTGTGCAGCTCTGTCTGTGTTTTGACTGACAGCGGTGGGAGACAGGAGTTGCTGCTAAACAAAAAAATGTGATGGATTACAGATAAATCTGTATTCTGCAGGCTTTGACAAATCCTCCCTCAGGTTCCTGTCCCACATCTAAAAATATCTCTGAAAACACACATTTGTTATGTGTCCATATGTCCTTGTATTTTGGGTTGGTTCCAGAAATCAGCGCAACATCTCATTTTACTTTTGTAAAATCTTTTTACATTTGTAACGCATTACTTGTGAGTTTACATGAAATTTACCATTTGTTGAATGATTCTGACAAACAGCCCCACGTTGTTGGACTCTCTCTGACCTACATTCGAGTCATGACCGTCACCACAGGGAATCGAACGTCCAATCCTGCCAGTGTTACTGCTGTGCACGATCACAGCACGCTGATTTAATGTTATGGGTTTTTTTATTGTCCACATAGTGACACTGTGGGAGTCTGGGTCACAGTCAACCAAACGTAGATGTTACACTGATGTGCCTGGTGGGGTTGCTGTAATAATGAGTTTTCAGATGACTTTATTTTATTATTGGCCAAATCATCACAGATGTGTTAAGTGATATTGAAGTGTTTTATTGTTCAGTAAAACATCTTTCCTCAGTTTATGTTTGGCACAGAGGTGTAATCCTTAATATTTGAGTCCTGGTTGATTTGGTGACACCTGTTGTTAATGAGCAAATCCGGTTTAATTCAACAGATAACAGAATTCTGGGGGCAAAACAAAGTATTGTCGTTTTAAATAACGAAGTCAGGCTTTAATTGGCCTTTTCCCAAAATTCTGTGAGCAACCGTGATCTGGTTTTATGCTGCGCACAGCATGACTCTGCGAACAGCAGGGCACAGTGAAAAGAGTTGGTTACCTCGGTGTGCAGCCTGCCGCCTGCAGCTATTCCTCTAGCAGTTCTCTGTGGCTGCTCCTGACTCTTCCACTCCTCCCTGCAATATTTCAAACTGATCTGCTGTCAAAAATGTTGTAAATTACCATTTTCTTGTTTTATAGACACATTTTTGATGGAAAATAGCAGCTGGTGCTAATCTCACTGACAAACACATTGCATTTCCAGTGACTTCTTCAAAATAAAAGTCAACTTGTGTTTTGTCAAGTGTTGCAATAGCAGTGACTGAATACAGCATTTTTTGCCGGGAATGTATAATGTTTCCACCCACACTCAGTTTGTAATACTGCAAAAAAGGGTTTTCGTCAGTATAGCCTCAATCACCAGTGCATTATGTCATTCAGCGATGGATAGTGACTTAACAGACATTTACTTAAATGTAAATCATCTAGAATGTTACTTTAAGAAACAGAATTTGAGGGGTCCTTTTAGTGGTTGAACAAAAACCAACATTATCTCAGGAAATGGAATTTCTCTGTTTGTATAACAAATAAGGGAACACAATTATTTAAATCAGACTGATAGATTGCTTTCTTTTTTAAAAATCCATCTTCTTTTTCAGGCTGTTGCAGATCAAATCCAGTCATCACATCACATCTCATCAGGGCTTGGCCCTGATTGGTTCCCCTTGATACAGGAATTCTGAAACCCTCCAAATCAGGTACGTTTCCTTCATTTCTAATAGAGTTACTGCTGTTTTCCTGCAGTCAGTGTACAGTATATATGAATGAAGGACGTAGTTTATGTCCGAGAAGGTCCGATTTGTTGAAAATTTCAAACAAAACCTATTTTAGTGCAATGATGAATCAGAGGTCTGAACAGACTGTTTTGATGGATGTGACAAACGTGACAGAGAATGTTTGAGTAGACAAATTGGATTCAGCCAACATTTAGCTGTTAATATTTAAAACTGGATGTGGGCTGCAAGGAGCTCTCTCTCTCTCTCTCTCTCTCTCTCTCTCTCTCTCTCTCTCATATCCCTCAGTGGCAATTTCAGATCCAGCAGTCAGACACCTGCGTCTCTATTTGATAAATATTGAATCTGCCAGCGTTAGAAATGGATCTTTAACAAGGCCAACACACACACATACACACCATTCTTAGACACATATGCGCACGCTCACACACACACACACACACACACACACACAATCACTCTTAGTCACTCTTTCTTGTGAACGTGATCTCACATACTGAACCTAGCACAGGTTAGTAGGTTAGTGGTAAACTATGTTGTGCATCTGCTGGTTTTATTGCTGTCTGACATACAAACAAATGCACAAGCACACTTTCTCTCTCTCTGCGAACAAACAAATAGACAGACAGCTGCGTGATGCCAGTGTGTGTTTGTGTTTGCAGAGTCATACTGAGTGAGTACACAAAGAAGGTGTGATGGGAATGGTGATCGTCTGTGTACCAAGAGTGCATGTATGAGTGTCAGCCACCAGCTGGCTCTGATCTTTATTTTTTTATCATACTGTTGTATCTTCCGGAAAATGGGGTTGAACATATAACACAACATGTGTGTACAAATGTGGGAAACGGAACATGTATGTTAAGCTGCAGACACGTTCTGACTGTTGACAGCTTGTTGCCTAATGCAGTTGTTTCTTAATAGCTCCACATCGCTGCAGGGTGTATTGCATTGACAGATTGCAGTTGTGTCATAAGATTATGCAAATCAACTTGAGCAGGGGACACATATTATCGACTTAGACGGAGGCCCACGTGTATTACAAACACATTTTGAGATTTCCCACTCAGACATTAATTAAATCAGTGCAAACAAATAAATCCAACTATTAATGACAAGTGAGTTTAGATGGTTTTAAACTTGCTGAGGCATCAAAAAAACCCACATGGTTTACGCAGTTGATAAGTATGTCCTGTCCTCAAAGCAGATTGTGATTGTGATTGTGCCTACAAAATAAAAGCACCAAAATGTCTTTGCAGCAGTACTTTATGTCATGTTTAGTTGAGAGCTTTTACTTTGAAAAGTTCTAAAGGGAATTCAAAAGAGTCTGAAACAGCCGTCAGAAAGCATGAGATCGGATTTCCCTGAATGAGAAAGGTAGGAATTTCCTCTGTCTGGAGGTACTGGGAAATGAAAATAAGCATTCATAGGTTGATGTGGCAACCCGGTCTCACTCCCAAGTCGTCACATATGGACGCTTGGTCAAGAGCCATAATCGTCAGTTTGTGACGCACTAGGGATCCCTTTGACGTCATAGTTCGACGTATTGAGGGAAGCCCTGTTGTGTCAGTTTTTGATGGTAAAGGCAAGTATGATATTTAAGAGAAAAGACGAAGTAAGGAGGTGATTGGGGTGGATAGAGGGCCAGAACCCGGACCTTGAAGCAGGAGAACAGGGTTTGTGTCCCGTGCAAAACAAAACATTAAATGTTTTTATTTAGGCGAGTGAGGTAAATTGACATTAACGTTAGTTAACTTAAGTTTTAATTGACATACATAGCTATTTTAACCCAAACCATGATCTTTTCCTAACCTTAACCAAGTACTTTCTGTGCCTAAACCTAACGAAACTGCAACGTTTCACGACTTTAATTATGCGCGTTTCAACATGGCAATGTATCGAAACGTTACTTTTTATCTTGAAAGTGTAACCGGATATTGCATATTTATTGTTGCTAAGCATTGCTAACTTGACTGCGGGTCCCTAAACATCAATAATTGATGCAAAAGGGCTACCCAAGTCTTTAAAAAGCGACGACAAAGGGCCTTGACCATGCGTCAGACATTTGACGAGTAGGGAGTGAGACTGTGTTGGATGTGGACCAATCGCCGGGACGCACACACTCCTGCACATGCTTAATTGTTTAAACATGTAAAACGATCCATTTGTCAAAAAGGGAGAAAAATAACACGAGCAAGAAGTGGAGATTGAACACGCAACCTTTCAAATGGGAGACTTGAGCACTACTAATTGATCTAAACAGGCACACGTGCAATGAAAGATTATAAATTACAGATTTGACTATGTTCTGGCCCGCCATCAGCTGACTTTATTTGCCAACCTCTGGCCTAGAGGGACCAAGGGTGTCCTCATGGCGCCCATTGTGTGCCTCTGTATAACGTGTCAAGGACGTGTCTGCTGCCTCTTGAGCAGAGCTGACTACACTGTGACTATCTGCAGCAGCTGTAAAGCAATAACAATGGTTTAATAGGCAATGAAAACAGTGGACAGTGGATAGCTTGGGTTCCATCAGAGGCTAATAGCATTTATGGGCTTTTGAATGTGAAGTGTAAAGACTTCTTGCTGCTGTATCGTTTCTTTAAAATGGACATAACGATGAGTTTTAGAAAGTTTAAGATTTAGGAATAATCCTTGCTATTTTACTTATATTCCCCAAATCAAAATGCTAGAGGAAACAGCCTTGGAAAGCTACGTCATCTTATACTGTGTGTGTGTATATATATATATATATATATATAGTTACAACAGAGTTACTATAAAAAGTTTAAAGGCAATCAATTTATTTTCTATTTATAAGAATCTTTTAGGGGAACCTTGAACACATTAAAGATTACAGTGAGTGGCGGCTGTAATTGTTAAGAAATAACTTGTGAGGCGGAGTTATTAGCCTTGGAAAACTGTGTTGTCATCTTAAGGGAATAACAATCACATCTACCCCTCCATCCATTCATCCCTCTGTCTATCTATCTGTGGCTGATAACAGTTTCTTGGAAGGATTTTCATTTCTCCATCTCTCGTCATGTGTAATGTATCACAGAATTCATTTTTAATGTTGTGATTGGTTTTCGGTTGGTAAACAATTTGGATGCAGGAGGACAGAGTCTTCTCCCCCAGAGAGGAGCAGCGCATTCAGAGAGTATCCACAAACGGCAAAGTGACTGCCAATTGCTCAATTCACAGAACAAAATCAACGTCCTCATCGCTGGCTGAATGGGTTTTCAGCTAGCGTTAAAGAAGCGTCCCAGGGCATCTTCCCTTTGTGAGCAGGATCTTTTCACAACAGCTATACACATTCAGACACCATTGAGAATCCCACTGAGGGTCCACAATTAAAAGAACACTTTTCTGTCGTTGTTGTGGCTGTCATGTCAAACTTGACATTTCATTTATAGAAGCAAAACATTTTCAAATACCAAACATCGGCACAGAGAAATGGCATGATACTTTTCTGTCTTGGGAATGTCTCGGCTTGCTTTATTGTAAGAAGTATTGTGAAAAAATTTGATATTTCTTTTACCTTCAGTTCTGGAGGTTCGTCTATATTTGTTCTTGACCATGGTTTTTCCCTGAGCATATCCAAATGGTTTTAATCACCTTTAATCAGCTTCACTGTCCCTTAAAGATCCTCAAATCAAATAAATATGTATGCAATTTTGACCAAACAACAGACAGACACAGTTAGGGAGTGTGACGCTAGTGGAGAATATATATATATATATCAATTAAAAAGCTAAGGGGATGACCATTCTGCTCTGTGTCTGTTGGATCTGTAAGTAAGCAGTGGCTAACATGCTGTCCACAGCAACTTGATCTTTTGAATTGTTCCCAAGTAGCCTGCCAAAAATAAAAACAGCTGTAATCATACTTTATTTCTCATGTATGTAGCTATGTTCAGTGTATTTAAAGTATTTTAGAGTTGCTTTCAAAGAAACCTATATTAGTATTTTGATGATTTCAGTCATTCACTGCGGCACTGCTGCAACATTTAACAAAAGGTTTTGTAATTTATTAATAGTTATGGGAAAGACTGTGTTACGTCTACCCCACAACCACCAAGAGGTGCAGAATACAGACCGGGAGGAAGTCATTCTACACACCTGTGACTGCTGGGATATCATACCGTACCATGAAGCAGTCATGTTATGCAGAAACAGTAAAAACTTTGAGACTCTGAAATATCAAAATAGTTTTTTTGCATCTGGTATGCAAGTTGGAAAAGTTTCAATATTTCTATTTAAGAAGCTTCTTTTCTTTGTTTTTAAAAACCTGTTGATTTGTAATGATTTGAGCATTTTGCCATTTCATCTGCAGAGGTTTAGAAAACCAATGGTTGCTCCAGGAATAACTCCGTGAACCACATTGTCTCATGTCTCCGTGTGTGATACATATTTTTTGTGTTCTTTTCTATTCTGTTCTCATCATTTTCAATCTATTCATATGTATTCTTTCCAACATCATGTAGCCACATTAGAGAAGCCTCTTTGCCACAAAGCTTTAGAGGGTTTTGCTTGCCGATAGGAGTCCCTGTGTTGAACAATAGCGAGGAGCAGGCACGCTGAACAAAAGCCTCTCAGTCTGTGACAGATTTTAGCTGGCTGCTAATGGGAACCAACGCTCAGAGACCTAAAGCGCATAGAAAACGATCATCTCCACTCACATAGAACAGAAACCACAGGGGATGAATAAATGAATGAAAAGAGGAGAGAGGGAGTAAAGGAGAAGCAGTAGAAAAATAAAGAACGATTTAATAAACGCAATGGAGACAATACATTTGTGAAGTCTGTTATTAGTGCAGGTATTGTATTCTCTAGGTTTGGATTTCATGGCTCTTGGAAGAATAATAGAGCAGTGAAACTATTTATTATCAAGATGTGTTTCATCCTTTGCTCAAAGTATTCTCCATCTCCATATCGTCACAGCACATTCATCTGTTGAGAAACAATCGT